CGCCGCCCCCCCAGCCTCCGCATAGCCGCCGCCCCCCCAGCCTCCGCATAGCCGCCGCTCCCTCACTCCCTGTTCAAAGGCAGCCTACTTGTGCATCTGGCCCGGGAGCCCTGCCCCGCCATGGCCTCCTGGGGGCACCACTGAGCCAAAGGTCTTCCCTTTATTTATCAGGGATTTGTCAATTTCACAATCAATAAGCTGCTGGAGATCAAGAACAAGGGGGGCTTCCAGAAAAATTTGTAAGTAATAATTACAAAGCATGCTGCTGTCCTAGATGGGACCTCCTCGGCATTTTACTGTCATCAGCGGTATAAAGCCAGCAGTAAAATCAGGGTAGGACACAATGGGGGGGGGGGGGGTGGTTGATGGATTGGATTCGGGGTAGTTAGGGTGGGTGCTAAGGGTAAAAAGCCGTAATGGCGCAGCAGGCTGGTGTCTGGGAGACCAGGCCGGGCCTGAAACAGCTCTCACACACAGCAGGCTGGTCTGACGTAGCAAGAGAAGGGACAAGGGGCGGCGGATCACAGACAGGTCACTGTGCTGCGGCCATGATGCCGCGGCCATGATGCCGCGATGGAGACCTGCTCCATGTCCAGCTAGCACGTACCGCCCGGCCTAGCGTGCAGGCGTCCGCGGGGGGATCCTCCCCGCCGGCTGAGGAGGAGTGCCTGTGCAGAGCACCTCGCTGAGGGTGGGGGCCTGATATGTCTGTGTGTGTAAGCCGTGGGGGGGGCCCGACACGGCCTTTCCGCACCACTGCACCCCCTGCAGGACTCTTTCCTTTCATCACTCTCCTGTTCCCACATAACTCAGATACTTCAAAACCATAAATAAACACCATATTCCCGAACGAGATCAAATTTATGAGCGGACGGTGCAATGGGGCTTCCCAATGCGAGACACGAGACCTGCATGGCTCTCCACTGTCGGATCCGAGCACGGTCCGGTTCTGTTAAAGCATGAAATACATAAGTAGGTGGCAGAATGGGTTGGTCCGCGGCCCCGCTGGGCGTTCCCTTCCTCCGCCTGCAACCCCATCTCTCAGGGAGAGTCCCACACGAGGCCAAGGTCGACACAATGACGAGAACGTGGGCTCCCCTCGCTGGCCTGACCGTCTCGGCGCAGGGTGGACAGGTTATGTTAATAAAGCGTAATATGCTAATATAATACAGGGGTTAAATACTGTCACAACAACTCCTCAAATAAGATAAAATTTCCAGTCCCTGGAGCTCACCTACACACACTCTGATTTAAATCAGGCCTTACATATATCAGAGGCAGTGGGGGGGGGTGTCTGATATTACCCCACCCCGTAGTCTAAGTGCGAGCTGATCCTGCCTCCTGGGGAGGCGGGGGGGTGGTGTCGCACCTCTCTTGTTGCCCACATTTGGGCGATTTTCCCCCGCAGCCGCGGCCTTCCCCGCTAGCCGTGATGAGCAGGAGATGAGGTCATGGCCACGCGGCCAGCGAATGGTGTGCCCACGAGAGTGTCTGATTGTCTCATCTGAGAGGGCCCGCCCTCCCCACCCCCCCCGCCCGCCCCCTCCCATTCTATCTGTATGTAAATGCAGAGTCCACAGCTGGAATCGCACAAAGAAGCGTGATTTACTAATAGTTATTATCTCTACCGCTTGTTCCCCCAGTAGAGCCTGCAAAACAAGCAAATTGTGTCTTTATGATAATGTCTCTTCCTTTCGGAGGCCCGGCAGAAACATTTATTATTATTACTATTATTCCATTATTATTATTACTAACGGTATTATCAGTGGGCCGTTAGCGCTGCTGTCGAACGTCTTGAGGAATAGACATGGCCTCCAGAATAGAAGCGTTTTTTTTTTGGTTGTTGTTCAGGGGACGTGCCGGGAATGCTGGGAGGGTAGGGACCTGGCAGAGGGGGGCATGCGCGTCCGGGCGGGGGGGGACATCGCGGAGCTGCATCTCAGGCACATTTCGGGCGCCGTGTCCCTGTGATGCATAACCATTAACGGCGAGTTAGTCTCCAGTAAAGTATCAGCTCAGGACTAACTGAGCTTGGCCACAGTGATGTGTCTCGGGGGGGGTGTGGATAATGATGCTCGCACCCCCACTCCACTCCCTTCTGATTGACAGCATATGCATCACCGTGCCTCTGTCTAAGCAAAGTGACAGTCCCCCTGTTTTCTGGTGACATCATTGGTTTGGTGTTTGACCCCTGTGCTGCCCCCCCGCTTCCCATCGCTCCAGGACCCTGTGAACACAGCACCTGAAAAAGCAACTCCGGCTCTCTGTCAAGCCCCCCCTCTTTTTCTGTCCACGCTTCCTGTCTTCTCCGTCCTCCCCTGGCGTGTCACTGTTCCGCGCCGTGTCGACCGGGTGCCCCAAGCCAGCGCCTGCTGAATTTTCCGGTAGCCGTGATGCACTTCACAGTACGGCCGGCCGGCTCCTGTAGAGTGAGCTCTTCCTTTCTAATGCCGGAATGACGGTAAGAGATCCTGTCCTGCTGCCTGTTGGGCGTTGCAGACAAAGGCCACTCCCCCAGCCACCCCCGTTTTGTGTCGCTGGGGTACGATTCTGCCATGATTGACACCCCTTGTCCTGTGCAGTGAGCCCCCCCCCCCCCCATGGCCCCCAGGGTCCCCCTCATTGTCGTGCGTCCTTTTAGCACCTTTGTCCCAAGCTGTCCCCACAGACCGCTTGG